GAGAGCTGGCCTGGAAGAGGGGCAACTGGGACAGAATCTGGCGCCCCGACCGGGACTAGAACCCGGTGTGCCGGCGCCGCAAGGTGGATTAGCCTGTTGAGCCGCGGCGCCGGCCTTAAGTATCCATTTTAAAAGTGAAAATGCTAATATTCAGGAATATTCTTTTTAAATAAAAATATTTACTTATTTGACAGAGTTACAGAGAGGGAGAGACAGAGAGAAAGGGAGAGAGGGAGAGCAAGGGGGAGAGAAGACAAAGGTATTTTTCCATCCTCTGGTTCACTCCCCAAGTAGCCCCAAGAGCCAGGGCTGACCCAGGCTGAAACAAGCTTTTCCGGTCTCCCACGAGGGTGCAGCGGCCCAAGCATCTGGGCCATCCTTGGTGCTTTTCCCAGGCCATTAGCAGGGAGCTGGATCGGGAGTGCAGGAGTCCAGCACACACACCGGTGCCCGTATGGGATGCGAGTGTTGCAGGTGGGGGCTTAACGTGGCGGGCCACCGCACCGGCCCCAGAAGTGTTTTCTCAGTTCTCTATCAGATTTCCCACATCTCGCACCAGATCTCAGTTCCCGGGATGCAGCTCACTTTCAAGTGCATCTCAGCTCTGCACTACAGCCCAGGCCACCTCCTGCCGCATGCCAGTGCCCCTCCTGGTTTCTTCCCTCCCAGAGATCCTGGCCACAAGCTGCGCAGGACTCAAAAAAAGCATTCGGTGAGAGCAGAAATCCACACATACAGGATGCAAGGATTCATGTCTTTTAAAAGTGGTGAGGACCACGAGGGTCTAACCAGGGCGCCAACTCTGGTTCCTGGTGAGTAGAGTGTGGCCTGACTCTGTTCCTTTCAACCCTAACTGTAAACTCAGCCCACAGCAGGCACCACCACCCCAAGGTGGAGAAGCTAGAAGTGTGACTCACGCCCAGCAGCACAGGAATTTCTCCTAGGTCTTGCTTTTTATTTATTTATTTAAGATTTATTTTTTATTTATTTGAAAGACAGAGTTACAAAGAGAAGTAGAGACAGAGAGAGAGGTCTTCCATCTGCTCGTTCACTCCCCAGATGGCTGCAACAGCCGGAGCTGAGCCAATCCGGAGCCAGGAGCTTCTTCCAGATCTCCCACATGGGTGCAGGCGCCCAAGGACTTGGCCCTCCTCTATTGCTATCCCAGGCCACAGCAGAGAGCTGGATTGGAAGAGGAGCAGCCGGGACTAGAACTGGCACCCATATGGGATGCCGGCCGGTGCTTCAGGCCAGGGTGTTAACCCACTGCGCTACAGTGCCGGCACCAGGTCTTGCTTTTTTTTTTTTTTTTTTTTTTTTTTGACAGGCAGAGTGGACAGGGAGAGAGAGAGACAGAGAGAAAGGTCTTCCTTTGCCGTTGGTTCACCCTCCAATGGCCGCCGCGGCCGGCGCGCTGCGGCCGGCGCACCGCACTGATCCGATGGCAGGAGCCAGGAGCCAGGTGCTTCTCCTGGTCTCCCATGGGGTGCAGGGCCCAAGCACCTGGGCCATCCTCCACTGCACTCCCTGGCCACAGCAGAGAGCTGGCCTGGAAGAGGGGCAACCGGGACAGAATCTGGCGCCCCAACCGGGACTAGAACCCGGTGTGCCGGCGCCGCTAGGCGGAGGATTAGCCTAGTGAGCCACGGCGCCGGCCCCAGGTCTTGCTTTTTAACATACAGACTGTGATCCTTGAAACTCAATCAAGTCTATTGAATATTTTAAAGATTTATTGACTTATTTGAAAAGCAGAGTTAGAGAGAGACAGAGAGACAGAGAGAGACAGAGGCAGAGAGAGACAGAGATATCTTCCATCTGCCTGTTCACTCCCCAGATGGCCATAACAGCCAGGGCTGGTCCAGGCCAAAGCTAGGAGCTTCATCTGGATCTCCCACGTGGGTGCAAGGGCCCAACACTGGACACCTTCGGCTGCTTCCCCAGGTGCTTCATCAGGGACTGCATTGGCAGGGGAGCAGACTAACCTGCAAACGGTGCCAATGTGGGATGCCAGCGCCACGGGCAGCTGCTTACCCCACTGCGCCACAGCACCAGCCGTACTGTGTCACTGAGTGGAAGCAAGGGCAGCCCATCTGCTTCCTGATCAGGTTTAGCTTCATTACGTTGGGTGCTTTCCAGCTAACTTAGCTTACACCTCTCTTCCGCCAGGGCTGTCTGACAGAAACACAGCATGAGCCACACAGGTCGCTCTGAATTTTCCTGCAGTCCTATGAAGAAGAAAAAGGTGGAGGACAATTGGCCCTCCAAATAAGACACCCGCATCCCACCTCAGAGTAGCTGAGTTCAATCCCAGCTCTGGCGCCTGACTCCAGTCTCCTGCTAACGTGCACCCTGGGAGATGGCAGCTAATGGCTCAAGCACTTGAGTCTGTTACGCATGTGCGAGACATATATTTAGTTCCTGGCTCCTGGCTTTGGCCTGGCCCAGCCCCAGCTTCTGCGGGTATTTGGGGGAATGAACCAGTACATGGAAGGTCTCTCTAAAATGAGTCAATGGTTTTTTAAAATCAATCTTATATTCTTAAAAAGTGTGAAGAAACGGGTAACATTATTCTGAATAGTTTATTTAAGCCAATATATCAAAAGTTATCTCAACATGTACGCAATACGAAGCGATGGTTACAGAGGCATTCCTCATGCACTTGCCAAGCTAAGCTGTGACATCAGTGCACACTTTACATGTGCCACGTGCTTCACAGCCACACGTGGCCAAGGCCACAGCCTCCTTAGTGGACAGCACCGCTGCAGCCTGTGCAGACCTGAGAACCCACAGAAGCTCCTCCCAACCCCACCGTCTAAAGGGGAGGACCAGGCTCTGCAGTTCAAGCGACCGCGAGAGACGAGGGGTCCTCCCGTGTCCCCGGTGTCAGCCCATCCACAGGAGCTGCAGACAGCAAGTCCCAGTGCAGCCGTTTGGGAGCGAGGCTTTACACGTGACTGGCGAGCTCACCAAACGAGTGGATCCACCCAGAGGAGACCTCACGGGGAGGTGATGGGAAACCTGAACACCACGGAACACACAAAGGCATGGGCCAAATTCCAAGCACCTTTCACAGGAAGACTTAGCCCTATCTTGCCACCTACACTCCACTATGTAAAAATCTTCTGTGTGGGGCCGGCACTGTGGTGGGTTAAGCTGCCACCTGCAGTGCCGGCATCCCATATGGGCACTGGCTCCAGTCCCAGCTGCTCCACTTCCAATCCAGCTCTCTGCTATGGCCTGGGAAGGCAGCAGAGGACAGCCCAAGTCCCTGGGCCCCTGCACCCACGTGGGAGACCTGGATGAGCTCCTGGCTCCTGGCTCCTGCCCTAGCCCAGCCCTGGCTGTTGTGGCCATTGGGGAGTGAGCCCGCGGATGGGAGCTCTCTCTGTGACTCTACCTTTTAGATAAAGAAATAAATCTTAAAAAAATTATTCTGTGTGGAACACTTACTACTACAAGCAGCAATGGCCAGCACTGGTCCAGGCTGAAGCCAGGACCAGGACCTGCATCCAGGTCTCCCACATGCATGATGGGGACAGGGGCCCAAGCACTTTCCCAGGTGCTTTCGCAGGGAGCTGGATTATAGTGGAGGAGCCGGGACTTGAACCGGCGCCCACACAGGATGCCATTACTACAGGCAGCAGCTTCACCTGCTGCCATACCACAGCACCGGCCCCTCAGATGAGTTGTTCTGAGAGTCCTCCAGGTACAAGTCTTTATATATGTGTGTGTACACGTGTACACACATTTATTGGTAAGTAATTATTTAGATAAATTATTTATGTACTTGAAAGGTAGAGTTAGAGAGAGAACAGAAAACCATCTGCTGGCTCACTTCCCAAAATGGCTCCAATATCCAGGGCTGGCAACTCCAGCCAGGACCCTGGAACTCACCTGGGTCTCCCACACATCTGCTGCTGCTTTCCCAGGGACATTAGCAGAGAGCTGGATTGGAAGTGGACAGCCAGGAGCAGCTCAAACCAGTGCCCACATGGGAAGCTGGCCTTGCAGGGCGTGGCTTTATCTGCTCTGCCAGCGCCCATGTGGGGTGCTAGTGTTGAAGGGGGGGCCCGTGTGGAAGGTGGCTTTATCTGCTCTGCCCCGGTGCCAGCCATGTTCTTTCTAAAAGCCTCTGCTGAACCTCAAGCCAATTTTCTGTGCTTTGTTACAGGAGCTCCTAGTTCCGGTTTTGTACTTAGATCTGTGATCCATGGGGACCTTCTGCCTAACGATACTGCTGACACCTGCCATGCAGTTTCCTTTTCCTTTCCCATTTGCAAGCATCTACACTTCAAGAGCTGCAGGAATGACCCAAGGACACAGCGCGCCCTCCCCCAGAGCCACCGGCAGCCAGCACTGGAGATGCCAGCTTCCCCTCCCCCTACACACACCGGAGACTCCTCAAGTCCTGCAGGCCTTACTCGAGGGTCTGCATCGGAACTGGTACAACGAAGGTTTAACTGGAAAAAGGGTCCTCCTCCTTTGTAGTGAAAGAAGTAGCCAGAACGAAAGCCCTGGTCTGGGGCAGCGAACCTCCCTGCTGAAGCAGGAATCACCCCTCTGAGGATCTAACTGTTCTTAAACCATCTTGGGGAGTAAAAAACAGAGTGCAAAGCTGTAACAGAAACCAGGCTGCTACAGAAACAATCCCACGGGAAGACCCCTCACAGGACGCCCATGTTCCACGCCTGCGCGCTGGGGTTCAAGTCCAAGCTCTGCTTCTGGGTCCAGCTTCCTGCTGGTGCGCATCCTGGGAGGCAATGGTGATGGCTCAAGGACTTGGGCCCCTGCCACCCGTGGGGGAGGCGCCCACCTGGCCCAGCCCTGGCTGTCCCGGGCGTCTGGGGATGGAGCCACCACGGGGTAGAAGATGTGTCTGTGCCTGTTTCCGTGTCCCTCTCCCTTTCAAGTAAATGAAAATGTTTTTAAACATATAAACACCAGTGGAATTTAAGTATTGCATTTTAAAAACTGACCAGTATCAACTGTATCAAAATTACCTTAATTCAGAAGTGCTTCTGGTCTGGTCTTCAACACATGTAAATCTGTCTGCAACAAACAGAAAAGGCTATATTTGCATTGCATTCAGGTACCGATGAAACACTCCCTTTGAGAGCACTCAGAGCTACCCCTCCCACACTGCCATCATTCTCCCAACTGCTTTACTTGGTACTATTACAGTATTTTGTTTTTCAGTGTGGAAAAAAAATTGGTATCAACCTTTTCAGTTTTTATTTAATGAATGCATTTGTTCATAGATACAACTTCATAGTATAGTGGTTCTTTCCCCCATATCCACCCTTCCACCCCAATTCTTATCCCACCTCCCTCTCCCATCTCATTGTTAGTTTGATTTTGTATACAGAGGACCTACTCCATGTCAAGCACACACCAACCATTTGCCCCCATGCACACACACAATGTACAGAGTACAGTTTGAGAACACGATCTGCAGACGATTCGCATAGTACAATTCATTAAGGACAGAGGTCCTACGTGGGGAGTAAGTGCGCAGTGACTTCTGTTGTTCCTTTAGCAATTAACACGCCTGTTTATGACATCAGTGATCACCGAGGCTCTTGCCATGGGCTGCCAAGGCTATGGCAGCCTTTTGTGACCACAGACACCATCGGTATTTGGACACGGCCGTGAGCAAAGTGGAAGTTCTCTCCTCCCTTCAGAGAGAGTACAGCCTTCTTTGATGGCCCTTTCTTTCCTGAGATCCTCCGTGTAGGATATTTTTTGCGACAGTCTTGGCTTTCCATACCTGAAATGCTCTCACAGGCCTTTCAGCCAGACCAGGAAGCCTTAGGGTGGTATCAACCTCTTAAAAATCCCTTAGACGTGCCTCACGGTAAATATATCTTGAATTAACGGAAAAGCAGGAGAGTAGGGGTTAGAATCCTGTTACTAGAGGGGCCAGCGCTACGGGCGCCAGTTCAAGTTCCAGCTGCTCCATTTCTGATCTAGCTGTGGCCTGGGAAAGCAGTGGAGGACGGCCCAAGTCCCTGGGCCCCTGCACCCGCGTGGGAGACCTGGAAGAAGCTCCTGGCTCCTGGCTTCAGATCGGCTCAGCCCTGGCCATTGCAGCCAATTGGGGAGTGAACCAGTGGATGGAAGACCTCTCTCTCTCTCTCTCTCCTCCTGCCTCTCCTTCTCTCTCTTTGTTAACTCTTTCAAATAATTAAATAAATCTTAACAGAAGCCCACACTCACATAGTCACACCAAGCCAAGACTGCCTCAGTGAGAAAAGGAATTCTCAGCACTCACCCAGCAAAGTGTTCGCCCTGAGACTCGCTGACGTGCACACAGCACCGACTGTCAGGTAGAAAGTCAGTTATGAGCTTACGCGCGTGTGACATAAAGGCCTAAAGAGAAGACATCTATGTCCAGCACATGCATCTGCATCTCAAAGTCATCCTGACAGTGTTTCAGGGGCAGCCTGGTATTCGCATCCTGCCCTGCCCCCTTCCACCTGATAACCTGCCAGGTGGAGGTCCCCGCCCCTTCTGCCTGACAAACCTTCCACAGTCTCCCAGGTGCAGCCCAGTCTCTGCATCTCAAACACCCTGCTCCGGATCCCCATTCTCTAAGGGTCCTGCTCACCCTTCCTCTGAACCCAGGATGGCGCCAACTAGGCTTCCTCCTGTCTGACACCTTCAGGGAAAAACTCAGATAGGAGCTTCTTACTATTTACAGCCATAAAGTCCTTTGTTTCAGGAGGAGATGTGTGAAGACAGAGACCCATCTCCTTAAACCCCCCCCCCCCCCACCGCCTCAACTTGACTGTGCGCTCAGCCCTCTGCCTCTCTGCTGAGCCGCCGCCTGGTCTGCCCAGGTGTACTCTCTCCACTCAACATGTAACCTCACTCCTTCCTCGCCACCCCCCCGCCAGTCCGAGCGACTGCACCCTTTCCCAGGTCCTGTCTGGAGAGGTGCCCATCCGTCTTTACGGATGTCCCTTCCCTAATAAACCTTGCTGTTTTACCTCCCACTACTCTCTGTCTCACGCCTGAATTCTTTCTTGCGCGAAGACAAGAGCCCTGCAGTTTCTCCGGTAACAGCTGGAGCTGGGCCAATCCGAAGCCAGGAGCTTCCTGCAGCTCTCCGGGTGCACGCAGGGACCCAGGCTCTTGAGCCGCCCTCCGCTGCTTTCCCAGGCACACCAGCAGGGAGCCGGATAGGAAGTGGAGCAGCCAGGACTCAAACCGGCGCCGACATGGCTGGCCTGTGCTGTAGGAAGCACCTTTGCCCACTGTGCCACAATGCCGGCCCCTGGCGGTGTCCTACCCCGACCCGGACTGTGCCACTGCGAGCGGAAGGTAGGGAGACGCACCCGGTGACCGTGAGCGTCCTCTGTGGAAGCAGGCGGCTCGAACCTTGTTGGTGACTTGGGCCGCGCACGAGGCGCTGGACACGGGAAAGAGCGATCTAGGATGCAGCTTTCTGATTCATGTTTTAAAATCTCTTTCTCTTTTCAAAGGGAAAGTTTATTAATGGGGGAAATCTAACAGGAGGAAAGGGGCGAAGACGGGGGGAGCGAGTGAGCGAGAGCAGGTGTGCAGGAAGCAAACTCTGTTATACCCTGGCCTGGGTGACCTGTGTCTCACCTTGAAGCATTGCTGTGTGGAGGACTTATCAGGATACTTATGACCACCATAAACCAGGCATTCCTAACGTGGCCATTGTTGCCCCCTAGGGGACATCTGGTGGCTTTTACAGCCGGGGAAGGGGCTGTGTTTGCTGCTGACAGAACCCTGCAGAAGCCCGCAACAGACAACACCCCAGCACCCCCACCTCAGAGAGCGACAGGACAGGCAGCCCCCCAGCAGACAGCCCAGTGGGATGCTGCTGCCTCACGTGTGTGGGGCCTTCCCTGGGGGAGGGGTAGTGTACATTTGCTGATTTCTGATTGTTTTCCAGCTTTGCTTCCATAGCCTCTATTTTTTTTTTTTTTTTTTTTTTTGACAGGCAGAGTGGACAGTGAGAGAGAAAGAAAGGTCTTCCTTTGCCATTGGTTCACCCTCCAATGGCCGCCGCGGCCGGCGCACCGCGCTGATCCGAGGCCAGGAGCCAGGTGCTTCTTCTGGTCTTCCATGGGGTGCAGGGCCCAAGCACTTGGGCCATCCTCCACTGTATTCCCTGGCCACAGCAGAGAGCTGGCCTGGAAGAGGGGCAACCGGGACAGAATCTGGTGCCCCGACCGGGACTAGAACCCGGTGTGCCAGCGCCGCAAGGCGGAGGATTAGCCTAGTGAGCCGCGGCGCCGGCCCCATGGCCTCTATTTTAAAGCTTCTATTATTTGAGGAGGGGGCACTCTCAGCACTGGGCACCCTCCATGCTTCTGACTGCTGGGCTGCTGAAGTTGGGAGCAGGGAGGTCTGTCCGCGTGTCCAGTGTGCGTAGCAGGCACCCGGCCGCTTCAGCCATCGCTGCTGCCTCTGCACGCGGGAAGCTGGGCCGGAGCGGGGCGAGCATCCAGCCCTGGCCCTGGCCCTGGCGCTGGCCCTGTCCCTGGTGCAGGCTCCCGGCGGAGCCTTAGCCAGCAGGGCCCACACTCAGCCAAGCCTTTTTTTCCTCAGGTGAAATTGCTGCAACATCAAGTTAAGCGTCTTTAGGTGACCGACTCCGTGGTCCTCACATAGTCAGTATCCTGTGGCTGCCACCTCTGCCTGACTCCTCTCCCCAGAAGGAAGCCCTGCGCCCATTAACCTGTCACTCATCACGGGCGCCACCCCCGCGTGCTGTCTCCTAGCACGTCCGTGCTTGACCCCTTGTATTTCTGAGTAGCGTGCCTGTGTGTGGCGTTTCATTGGTCCCCTTCTGGCCAGTGGATGCTGAGGCCCTGTGTCTTTATTAGGGAAGGGACATCCGTAAGGATGGACGGGCACCTCTCCAGACAGAGCCTGAGAGACTGGGGGGTGGGGTGGGGTGGAGGTTACATGGTTGAGTGGAGAGAGTACACCTGGGCAGGCGGGCGGGCGGCTCAGCAGAGAGGCAGAGGGCTGAGCGCGCAGGGGGTTTTTAAGGAGATGGGTCTTGCTTCCCCACCTCTGCTCCTCTTGGAACTAAGGGCTTTTTGGATGTAAATAGCTGAAGGTATCAGACAGGAGGAAGCCTAGTTGGCGCCATCCTGGGTTCAGAGGAAGGGTGAGCAGGACCCCCTGGAGAATGGGGATCCGGAGCAGGGTGTTTGAGATGCAGAGACTGGGCTGCACCTGGGAGACTGTGGAAGGTTTGTCAGGCAGAAGGGGCGGGGACCTCCACCTGGCAGGTTATCAGGTGGAAGGGGGCAGGGCAGGATGCGAATACCGGGCTGCCCCTGAAACACTGTCAGGATGACTTTGAGATGCAGATGCATGTGCTGGACATAGATGTCTTCTCTTTAGGCCTTTATGTCACACGCGTGTAAGCTCATAACTGACTTTCTACCTAACGTAGCCACGGTGACCGTTTGGGTCCCCAGCCCCGTAACTCTACCTGTCAAATAAATAAATAAATAAATCTAAATCTTTAAAAAAACAAAAACAGCAACAACAAAAACAGGATGCTTGTGGGGAGCAACTCGGACTAGACTAAGTTACTGGAATTAAGACTTATTCTATGCATCTGCTCTCCCACAATATGGCGCTGGGAGAGGAGAAAACAGCTTCTACGCAGCTGCCTCTTGCCAACTTGAGTGATGACTTCCAGGAGCTGATCCTGCTCCTGATTGGAGGAGAGCAGCGTACTCGGCGTGTGGGTAGCAGAGTTGGGATTGGCGGAGGAGGACTATAAAGGAGGAGAGAGACAACATGCACCAGGAACATCTAAGGGGAACATCTGAGGGAACACCTGTGCAGCCCCCGAGAGAGCCGGCCGGCGGTGTGCCGCTCCCCTGCGGAAGTGGGGAAAGTGGCCAGGGGGAACCGCTCTTCCACGGAGGTGGAAGGGACAGTAGCCAACCCGGGAAGAACCAGCAGCAAACCCGGGGAGGGCCGAGCAGACAAAAGAACAGCGCAGGGTCCTGTGTCGTTCCTCCACGAAGAGGGGGAGCGACAGATGCTGA